TTGGGGGGGGGGGGGGTTATTTAACTTAGCAAAGACGATGGTATCAGTTCTCCATAAAGAACTATGATACAATTTGGAAAAGCTCAAGTACAAGAAGTTGGAGGTCAAGCAGCCGAGAATCAAAAACAAATCTGAGCTTCCAGTTGGTGAATAAACCATCCTTGATCAGTCCATACGAAGTTTTTACAGTCGTGATTGGTTAATACGGTCTACCATCTATTAAGGAAGAATAAATAACAAGGGGGAGGGGAGAGAGGGGGGCTTATTAACTTTCTTTTTCCTGAAAATGAGGGCTTATTTGAGAAGCGGGGGTGGGGGGGCTTAATAAAGGATTTACCCGTATGTTGTGCTTTTACGATGTTAAATTTAAAATTTAGTTATCTGCATGATACTTAACTAAGCCCATATCCTAGAAAGATAGCCCTCTCAACACCAGTATTGGGTAACCCTAAAAATGCCAGGCTTGAATGACTGCCCTTGATTAAATAAATAAACATTATTTTAATTTCCACAGTCACTGCGGCATGGGTGAAGCTAGAAATTTTCATGTGTTCCCACCACGGTGCATTCTTCCTCTTCCATTGGAGTCTCTCTGCCTGCCATCACGTGATCCTCGCTCAAGATGCGCAGCAGATCTCTGCAATGATGAAGTCGTAGGTAAGGAATTAACAACTTAATTTTAATTAGCGTGAGAAACCTCTTATATCAATAGGGACCATTAGGTTGGACTTCAAGTACCAACCGTGGAGGCCATTAATGGTCAATTGTCACATTGATCTTCTTGCTGAGATTTGGGCATCTTACCGCAAACGGCAAACACCGCATTGCGGTTAGCAGTTTTCCGTTACCCGTCTGCCCTTATTTGAGGGTGGTAGCTTATGGCTGCCAAGTTTGTTGACATTCATCCGTTTACTTCTATTGTCGGAGTTGAGAAATGTCTTCCTATAAAAATGAATTATATAATTATATAATTAGCCAACGTGGGATTGTTATGCTTTAGGGTGAAAAGATCCTTGCGGTAAATGACTTACCACTAGAGCGTGGTCTTGTCGCACCAACGTGAACCTCAGACCACAAACCTGACGCACGACACCGGTGATAACTTCCTCGTAAAGTGCACTCGTAGGTGCTTATTGTAACGAAGAAGCGAGCTCTGAATTGAAGTGGGGTCGTATATGGAAAATCAACAAAAACTTCAGCGTTCAGCAGACTTTGTATGTGTTTGGCATTAAATAACGAGGGGAATGATTAGGGGAGGCTGAAGACAGCTTGAATTTAATTGTCAGGAGGAGCATTCCATCAACCTGATGTTGTTGTTGTTGATAATTATGGTTTGTTCAAGGTTTATTTTTAAAGCTATTCTACTCACTGATGCAATCATGTTCATTCTAGTGCGCCATTCGTTTCTCTCTTTGTCAAATTGCTCCTCCATTTCTTCTCTTTCCCTCTCAAATTCAGCCTTAACTCGGTTCTTCTCTTGACGGGCCTTTGTCTTCATATCGGAAAGATCCTCGTGCAGCTTTTCTATCTCTGTTTGGAGGTCTTTTAGTGTGCTTTCGTGTTGTTCCTTCTCTCTTTTCAGTTGTTCGTGATGCTCATTGTCTAACTTCGCTAACACCTGCAATTAAACACTATTCTAGGTAAAAGACTCATTTTAATGTGAGACTGTTGAAACACCCGAGTTGTGCCACCAAATGTGTTGGTGTTGTCTCTTTACATTTATCTTTGAAAGGCCTATAAAATCACCTCGCTCACTTCTTTGTAGTTAAATACGAGGTTTTTAAACGCTAATAAACGCTTTTCGGAATCTTTTTTTTAATTGACAGATCTGTTTATCATGATACCTTTAATTTTTTCGTTTCCCATGGAAAAAGTCATATGAATAGCAAACATATATGTATACATTAAGCATTAGCTTATTCTTTCTATCTTACTTGGATAGCAGTTACAATCGTGGCAAAACGGTTAGGACAGATTTGCATTTGGGGCTCGTTTTTGTTAAAACCCTGCGCATGCCCATACTCCCCTCTCCCCCCCCCCCCCCCCCCCCCCCCCCCCCCCCCTTTTTTTTTCTTTGTTTATTTTATATTATAGGGGGGGGGGGGGGGGGGGGGGGGGCCTGTTTTTTTTTTTTTTTTTTTTTTAATTTTTTTTTTTTTTTTTTTGTGATGATAAAAAGAAAAGATTTTTTGTAAATATATTAATGATGAACGATACTGGTTTTCTGATTCTTTTTTTTTTTTTTGTTAACATAGAACAAGAGTTAGTACTTATTTTTTTTTTTGGTTGTTTTTTGTTTAACCCCCGAGGATTGCCAATCCCCCCCCCCCCCCCCCCCCCCCGCCCGTGTTTCCACGTTTTTTTCGCCCTTTCAAAATTATACACGGTGGGGGAAGAGGACCCGCAAGGCGCTAGTTTTTTTTTTTTCTAAAGAATAGTAATGTTTTAATGTTATTGTAAGGCGGCATAAAAAATAATGGTGATTACGAAATTGCATGACTGTCACAAGGACTTTTGTCCAGGATTGTAGTTTTGTCAGGTCAAAAGAGAAATGACACTGGTGCAATGATTAAAACCCTACCTGCGAGTTGGTTTCTAACAACGGTGGGGCATTTGCCTTAGTCTGGCTCTCCCTTTGTTCCATTTGGCTTTGAAGCTGCTTCCTGTGCTCTTGCAGCTTTTCTATCTCACGCCGTAGACCCTGTAGGGTGCTTTCGATGTTTTCTCTTTCCCTCTTTGATTTTCTTTTATATTCATCTTCCAAATTAGCCTGCATTTCCCGTTTTGCTTCATCGAGAGACGTGGTTTCGGACGCAGCATCCGCCAAACGCCTTTCTAGCTCTGCTTTCTCGGCTTTAAACTTGAGTGTCATTTGTTTAAGTTTGGCTTTATAGTTTTCCTGTAGTTCTTCTTTAAAGATCTCTGTTTTTATCTGTTCGGTTTTTAACTTTTCTGACCATTCCTCTTCGATTCGATTGATCGTGTCCACTTTTCCCTTCTCCCACATCTGCTTCATCTCTCTCTTTTCGCTTTCAAACGCTTCCTCTAACTCTGCCTTATCCTTTTTCTGTTTCTTCTTGAAATCTTTTTTCTCCTGCTTAGCTTTAGCTAACTCTTTCGTCAGGGCTTGAATAGTGGCTTCCAATAGCTTCTTTTCTCTCTCGAATTGTCGTTTATTCTCATTTTTTTCGTTCTGTATGTCCTTCAGCCTGTTTCTCATTTGTGTCTCAACGGTCTTTGTTATTTCCTTCTGCTCCTGCACCTTTTGCGAAACCAGATCTTGAATTTTGTTCTCAAGCCCGGCGCTCCTTGAAGACAAGTCGTTAGAAAGCTCTTGTTTCAGTTTTTCTTCCAGTTCTTTTCTTTCTCTCCTAAACTTATTTTGTAGTTCTTCTTCCTTCTTCTCGTATTTTTTTCGTTCATCATCTAGGAGACTTTCGTAGTATCTTTTACTTTCTTCCAGTCTTCTTTTGTAGTCGTCTGCAAGTACTTCTTCGAGTTTCTGTTTTTCTCTCTTGTATTCCTGGCATAAATCTTTCTTTTCATCCTCGAAGCTTTTCTGCATTTGCTCCAGTTTTTGCTCCAACTTCTGTTTCTGTGCGACAAGAGATCGTATCTTTGCGTGTTTCTCTGCTAGAATGTTACTAATGTGGCTTTTGTCCTCATTAAAATCTTCATTACCGTCGTCTTGTATGTAATGCTGTGGATTTTCGGAAAATTCGGCTGTAGTTTCCTGTATTACTTCAAGCTCGAATGGAGATCTTCTCATTCGCTCGATTTCTTGTACTCTTACTTCCAACTTCCCCTTTTCTCTTTCAAATCTAGACTTCATTTCTTCTTTCTGTCGTTGAAAATCATCGGCCATTTTCCTTCGTTCTTCTTCATTTTTTTGTACATCCTCTTCATAACGATTCACCGATTTTCGGAGCATTTGTTCCCACTCTTCAGTGATTCTTCTTACAGCTCCAGCGTTGTTGTTCAGTTCATCCTGTAGCTGGCGGTACCTCTCCCTTTCGTTTGCAATCTCTGAATTATGTCTATCGACAAGTTCTCGTGTATCATTAACAAACTTTTCTTCGGCTGCTCTTTTGGCGTCTTTAAGAGTTTTAATGTCCGAGTTTAAATCATCAATCTCCCTCTCCAGTTTCTTTATTTTTGCCTTGTCTTCGTTTAATCGTTTCTCCGTTTCGTTGAGAGCGCTTGATTTTTCATTTTCTAGAGAGAATACCAACTTTGCCTTTTCTTCTGCGAATTCTTGTTCCATAGTTTTTATCTTCTTTGTCAGTCTTTCAACTTCATTTGAGAGATCACAATTATTCCCTTCGACCTTGCTTAACTTGTGAGAAATGTCCTCGATTTCTTCCATCATTTCTGACTGTTTCTTTTGTAGTTCGTTTCGTTTTTTTGCGTTTCGACCCATTTCCTCTTGTAGCTCTTCATTTCTATCTTCGAGTTCTTTTAACTTGTGTACGTCTCTTCCAACTCGCTCCATCTTTTCCTTTAAATTAATGTTTTCCTCCTCGATTTCTTTGTTTCTTCGTTGCACGATGCTGTTGAATTTTGTCATCTCCGCCAGTTTCTTCTGCAGGTTATTAATACTCCCTGTATTATCTTCTAAAGGCTTATATCCAGTCAGTGCTTCATTTCTAGCTGGTAGTTCGTTTATAGCAGTAACGTTATTCTTCTCAAGATCTATGAATTGCACTTCTTCAGGTGTTCTTTCTACTAAGTCTGGCTCAATGCCATTGAAGGTGCTTTCAAAGAGTCCAGCCTCAGTCTTCTTTTCCATAACTGCAACGATCGTTTCGCCTGGAATCTCTGCCATGCGTTTCTTCAGCTGTTCGTTTCGCTTTTTTTCTTCCTCCAACTCAAACATGATTCGACGGTTATCCCTTTCTTGTGCTTCCGCCATCTTAGCTCTCTCGTTTTCGAAGTGTGACCTTAGTTGTTCCTTCTCGTTGCGATGCTTTTCCGTCTCTTCAAGCATCTTGTTCTTCATTTGCATTAGGTCTTGTAAAAGTGCCTCCACGTTCTTTCCGAGCTTTGCTTTCTCGTCGGCTTCCTTGCTTAAACGGCCTTCAACGTCGGCCTTTTCACGTCGATTCTTTTCTTCCAGTTCAAGCTCATTATTCTGAAGCTTCTTCACTCGATTTTTCAAGCCTTGAATTTCTTTATCGAAATTTTCGTTACATTTCTTAAGATTTATTATGACGGACTCCAGTTTGTTCTTTTTTGAAATCTCTTGGTCCAGTTTGCTCTCCAGCTTGCTAACCTTTTCTGTAAATTTCGTCTTGACTTCCATCATTTTAATTTCATACTGGCTCAAAAGTTTTCCTTTTTCTTTATTCTTATTTTCGGCCTTTCTCAAATTTTCTCTCAGAATTTCATTTTCTTCCTCCAAGTCAAATCTAGTCTCTTCGAGAACTCGTTCCTGTTCCTTTATATGTCTTTCCTTTTCTCTTAGCACGGTCTCCAGCTTAAACTTTTCATTTTCAACTCTAATGTATTCTTCTTTGGGTACATATTTATCTAAAGTGTCAACGAAATCGTTAAGAGAATCATCTCTGGGAGACTCAAGCAGGTGGTCTATTATTTCGCTTAACTTCTCGTTTTCCTTTGCCAAAATGGCGATATCTTTAGCAAAACCATTTTTCTCTGGAATACTGCCTTCTCCGTTTTCGCTAAGTGAGTCCGTTTCAGGTGTTTTTGGAGCACCATGAGTCTTATTTTCAGAAGCAGAGGCTGTTCCTTTGACTTGTGGACCCCCACGTTTAAGCCGCTGGTTTTCTTGTTTTAAACATCGTATTTCCTCTTCGAGTTGAGATGCTTTAAACGCGAATCTTTCTTCTAGGAAATCTCTTTCCATTTTGTCTTGTCGGTACCTCCTATCAGCCGACGCCTTTTCTCTTTCTAACTGTCGCATTTTTGCCTGAGCCTCCCTTTTCTCTCTCAGTACCTCATTCAGCCGTGCATCGTCAAAATCTCTATCTGCAATAAATTTGTTCGTTGGCGCCTGGGTTCCGTAAGGATACAGATCGTCATTGTCGTCTGATGTTTCGCTGACTGTGTCGGTAAATCCTCCTGGGTTTTCGTTCCTTAAGTGAATCATGGCCTCTCGTAGAATACTGTTTTCCTGGATAACAGAGGATATATCTCGGCCGTCATCAGAAAATATTGAAGACATATCATCGTCAGCATAGAACCAATCCCCGCTCAGTTGTCTGGTGGCGTCATCTTTTAAAGGCAAACCACTTTCTCCATCCTCTCCTCTATTTTGTAGCAGGTCATCAGATGGTGGCGTTATTTCACCATTACTCTGCGACTTAGAATGCAGCGGGGGATTCTTCATTTGCGGTTCATCCTCCTGGCTTTGATGTCCTCCTGTGTTACCTCTGCTGTGTGGTAATTGTTTGTCGTCACCCTTAAACCGATTTTCTTCCTCAGAAATACAGCTCTCCTGCTCTCCTGCATCGTCATTTGTCCAGGTTTCCCTTGTTCCTGGCACGTCTGCTTCGTCTTTAGTGAATGGAAAAGTGTTCTCCGTTTCTTGATCTGGGAGGACATTTGCTGCGCCATTTTGAGAAAGCTCCTTGCCATATTCTTGCAGGTAATCTGTATTGTCGTCGGGTAACACTTTTTTAACGTTCGAATCAGACATCTCAAACTCTTTATTATTTTCTAGTACGTTCTGACTTGCTTCTTTGTAAACAGGGGAATTTTCCCTTTCAATGTTTTCGTCTTTGGGTGTCAGAGTTTCACTGTCGGATACTTGCAAAAGTCCATCTTCATTCTCTGCCAACTCTCTCTTTTTAGCTGAACTGAGGTGTGGTTTTATATCGTCATAATTATCCTCGTCAAAAAAACTGTCATCTCTACCATCTTTGGCACCATTCTTATTCGCTGCATATTGTAACGATACGTCGTCCTCACTTGTTTCAGCAGTTAACTCTGGCAAACTATCGTTTGCGTCCGGGTTGGCAAACTCATTTTTGGGTCCACTGGAACCGTCTTTAAAATCTGTTGTTATTTCTTCTTCTATTAATAAACCATATTCTTCTTGTGTATCATCACTTTTATCCTCATGTTCCTCTTTCGACGCTTCGTTTTCGATAGTGCTATACCCCCTGACTCCGTTATTGCCTGCCACGTCAACATCATTTTCCACAATCTGTGTCGTGTCGCCCTCCAGACTTGCGGTTGTCTCTAGGTCAGCACTTGCTGACATCTCATCTAGTAACGATCCTACTCCTTCATCTCTCTCGTCGTTTTCCAGTTCTTCAGGTTCACTGTTGAAGTGTTCGGATGTGTTATCATCAAATGCTTCACAAGCAGTTACAATATCTGGCTTATAGTTGTTGTCTTCCGCCCCTGATTTGTTGATGTTTTCCAAGAACGACGACTTATCAATGTTCTCTTCAAAGAGAGTTTCGTTTTCAACGCTTGATGTCATTTCTAATTTTTCTGTTCGCATCAAATCTGAACTTCCGTCTTCCTTTTCTATGGGTCCTTGAGTCGTTTCTTCATCCATTTAAACTAGCTAGAATAGAACATACACAGACCTGGAACGATTTCCTGAGTTTAATTTTCAGTGGGTGAATCAGCACGAAGTGGCAGGTTTTTGATGCACAGACGTTCACGTCTTTTGATGGGTTGTTGCATATGTACACTTTGCCTCCTCGAGTTTGTAGCAGCCAAAAACCTGCATAAGATTCTTCACTTTAAGCCTTGCTTTTTCGGTCTGCAATGCTTCACTTTAGCTTGAAGTAACTGTCTATTTCGTTATCTTAACATTTGCATGTTTGGCTGTCGCTGTGGCATCTGTTAACAGGCACCTGATGGGGATTCGAAAAAATATATGTAGGGATTCTCCTTTGGTAGACACAATTTTACTTCAAATCATCCGTGAATTTAATATCATACCTGTTGTAATGATTCCAGGCACATAATAAATCTTTATGTATAAAACCAGTTAAACAGTGAAAGTGGCCACCAGGCGGATAAACACTTCTTCTGGCAAACATTTCAGTTTTCACGACATCTAGAATTTTCGATGCTTCATTAGAAAATAAAAAAAATTCTTTCCAGCGAGCGCTATTTTTGTCCCGAAAAAAGCGTCAAATATTTTGATGTACATAGGTTTGTTTGTTTATTGAAACCAAGTTTCACAAAACCTCAAATTCACGGTTTTTTAATTTGCATACAGAAATCTCGAATGCACAACCTGTTGTCTCCAGTGAAACTGTCGCCTTTTGGCAACAAGACATCTTGGATAATATCTTCTTAAATTAGCAATTCATGGCAATTACAAGGCAAAGCACCTGCAATATAAGTTCCAACAAGAGAAATCAACACAACTCAGGAAATCATTCGTAAGATTTTTGCACTTGATAACTTTTTGCTGTGCGGCGCAATTTTCTTGGGACCAGTTTGGTCACTTGTTGATAATTGGCGGAATTGTTTATATTCACAAGCGCTGCATTGATGTAAACAATTTTCTTGGAAGTTGTCAGTTGATGTTAAAATCGATTAGATAAGGTACTGAAAGTTAGAAGGAAAAACTTTGTACACAGAAAAATTATATATTAACAAATAAATTTCAACTAAAGAAAAGTTACATGACCGTCAGGTAATATTGCAAATGCCCTCTGCCTTTAAGGAACTTTGACAATTCGGCATTTGCACATCTCCCACAATACACCTTGTTTTCCCTAAGAATTTTGCATACTTATTGTCCTCAATTTCTCTTGAGACGTCTGTAATACCCAGAAGAATAAAAGAAAACAAACATTAAGGTTATGTAAACTTTTTGGGGGCAAACAAAGTGTATTATGGGAGATGTGCAAATGACGAATTGCCTCTTTGAAAAAGTTGAAGCAACAGATCAGGAACTTTAATGTTGTTTATTTCCTTTCTCGATAGGAAAGATATGCCGCTTTACAAATGTACAGCAATACCCGCTGTTTACGAACACCGTTTTTGTTGCTATTCAATTGAGCCGCCCGGTTTGCTCGAGTTGATAAGCGCCGGTCGGAACGGGAGGTCGTTCGTTAAAATCCCGGCCGGACCAACATTCAGGGTCTATAAAATAACTGAGTAGAAAATGCTGCCTTTGTAATAACATCTGCAAACGGTTGAATTTTCTATTCCTTTCGGATAAGGACGATAAACTGTAGGCGCCGTCTCACAAGCCTTGCACATGTAATAAATTCGGTGGGACGTTGAAGAACCCACATTCTCTTCGTAAAGAGTAGGGTTCATAGTCTCCGGTGTAGTGGTCTATCTCAAATTCACACTAACGTGGGGGGTATCATTACTCAGCCCAAAGTCCCCCAACCAGTGTTGTAAGGTTTCCCTGAAAAGCCGCGACGGAGTGGATAATAATAATTATAATTACAATTATCATTACAGCCAGCGACTGAAACAAAGGAACTTGTTTCATTTGCCACTGCTCCCCCCTTTGACGTATTAACTACAATAACTACAATAGGTGACTCACTGCAACTTTTTCTCCCATCACCGCCAAGATATTTGCCCAGAATATTGGTATCACCATCATCATCATTATAATCTGCCCCAAGACTTAAAGGAATTCATTACCTAATCGCTGATGATCAATCCAATCCCTAAATGGTTTAAAGAACAAAATACGACCAAATTTGAAGAGAACATGCCCCTGCCTGTGTAGAGGTTTTATTATAGATCCCTTAAAAAGAAAGGAAAATGAACGGGGGCCTTTTTTGACATTTTAAGAGACGTTTTAATACTTATCTTTTTATTATCATCTGACAAATTACAATTTTTTAAAATTTTAAGTTTTGTAAAGCGCCATGAACTTTTAGGATATGTTGCGCTGAATAAGAACTCTATTCTTGTCATCATCATCATCATCATCATCATCATCATCATCTCCATCATCATTGATATTATTCATACTATTGTCCTTATTGTTCCCTATTCATAATTCTAAAATGCAAATCAAAGTATTTCGATACAGTTTTTAGGAGACCATACCGACGTATTTCACTTTTTTAAAAAAATCAAATTTTACTCTTTGTCAAAATCAATGTTTAGGCACGATATAAAAAGCACTTTGAAATCAATAAAAGTGAGATTTTGTGCAATCAGCATCTCCCATTGAATAGTGGACATCAGGATGTTTACCTATGGTGTATAGCAAATGTATCCTTTGAACACGTTTTAAAATATCTCTGTTTAAATTTAAGACAATTTTAGAAACATGTGGCCTTATGTAGTGACATCAAGCGACAAGCAAGTACTTCATGATCTCGATATACTCATCGGTCTAGAGATATCAGCGACCTTCAGATTCGAGGACGAGATTTGACTTAAAGGTTTTCTCATTCTTAATAATAATTTTACTTTTTTTCACAAGAAAAGTTAGCACTGTTATCTAAATTGAAGGAGGTTAAGCCCTTTCTCGATCGCAAAATGATAAAACCTCTCACATTTGATAACTTGTTTCTACGACTACGACATTCTCGCTGAAACTCGTAGTAGAATGATGACGAATGACGAGGCCTATAACGTCACGCCAACATGACGCTGGTTCACGCGCGAGCACTACTTAGTGTTGGGAAAATCTCGTACTCGTAGTCGTTCTCGTTTTAGAATCTAAAAGTCTCCATTGCTTATCTTACAAATGTAACATGCAAACCAGCCTGGTCTCACAAAATTTCATCATTTCATTATTGGCACTTTCATTGTGCTGTTCAAAAATGTTGCAATTACCAAATCTTTCAAGTAACATCTAAAACATTTGCATCCCCCCTTCCTTCCTTCAGAAATTTTCACCAGTTTCCTCCTTTATATTGTTCCAAAAAAGACCCCCTTTCAAAATCCTCTCCCCCCCCCTCCCCCTTGTGGTAAACGTGCACATAATGAATGCAGCCTGATGGGATGCCCAACTCTGTTGACCATGTTAAAAAGGCGTTAAAAACTTATCTTTTTAGCCAGGCTTTTTCATAGGTAGGTTTCGTGTATGATCACTTTTTTTTACATTTTCCTCGCCGTTTGCCTATCTCCCATAATACCCCCTGCTTCCCCCCCCCCCCCCCCCCCTAAAAAAAAATGCGTAAGCATTGTCTTAGGAATACTGCAGCACTTAATTTGGCGAGGGTGGAGGGCAAACAAGGTGAATTTAGTTCTTTATGTCCTTTTAACTTTTCAACTTTAAACTTGATAAACTTTTATAATTTATTTAGTTATCAATCACTGTTATGCGCAGTTAATCATCACAATGCCATGAAAAACTGCGCAAATCTAATTGTTGGTTTTTTATTATAACAGAGATCTCAACTTAAATTTATTATTTAAATGTATTACTGCCGCCTTGCAGCCTCGCTAAGACGCGAGGCTGCGAGGCGGCAGCCTAATAGAGCCGTGCGCGATTGTTCCAGGGGCAGAAAAAATTTCGAATCGATGTAACATAGAGTAATGTAAGGCAACCATGACGTAATGCAGGACAGAGAATGCATTGTTTTCGAGCGAACAGGTGATGCAGATCAGAGAATCCACGAGCCGTGTGCGTGCTTGTGAATCCCATGCTCATCCCGTCCTCAACCAATCGTCGGGTGGATTATTTCCATCCTACGCGATATCTGTCGCATTTGCCTGCTGGAATTTTTTATTGTATGCCGCTAAGAAAAATAATAACGCAGTGTCTTTGTGTCTTTGAAGCAAAATAATTCGGAAGGCTTCATTGGCGCACTATAAAGTTTTAAGCTTTAAAAAGAGACCAAATATAAGTCTGTACATTGAATATTCGCGGACTTTAATATGACTTTTCGAGGATTTTAAGTTTGCTTATAAGACCACTAAATCTTACGCAAAATGACTTGTGCGCAACGTCGGACAAAAACACGAACTTCAATATCTCGAAAAATTTGCTGGGTAAAGTCGGGATTTCAAATTCTTAATGTCGTAGAACAGTTTAGTTCACTATTTTCAAAAGACAAATTAAAGCACGGGGCACACATACACCAAGCCCATGATCCCACATTCCCAGCCAACAGCTCCCACATGTGTTATGTGGAGGCACTTGAAGGACTCGCCTCGGGTTTTCCCCGATCACTGACCGACGGCTATGCCATGCTGATGAGCCCCAGTAAGGGCGAAACAGCTGTTCATAGCTGCCACTGCCCGCATGATATGGCTGTGCGCGTGCGTGAGGTAATGGCTGTGGGTTGGTGTATGAGTGCCCCTTGCTTTGATTTGGTTATCATTAGATCCCATCGACCGTAGCCCCTTCGTACACCTCATGAAATTTACACAGTGTAGTTTTCCCGTTTACTAAGTAGGGTTAAGCACTACCTTTTACAGATAAGGATTAAGCACTGCCTTTACTGATTAGGGTTAAGCACTGTTTCGAAATTGGTTAGGTTCTTTTTTGGGGGTTGGGGTTGATGCTATATGTACTTAAATTGTTTCTCCTACATCCAGCAAATCCTCAGTGGTATAGTGGTTAGCGTGGTATACTGAACCATCTGGGTCGTGGGTTCGAATCCTACTGTCTTTCGTATCATTTTTTTCCTTTCGAATTGAAGAGACTTACACTTTCAAGAACATTTCCAGCTTGAAATATCACCTAAATGTGATATAAAAGCAGAAAACAGGAGCGCTTACCATTTGTATGGAAAACTCGGAAATTTCGAGGAGAATTCAAATCGAACGGTTCATCCCGATGGAAATTTTCCGGAAAAAAAGTAATACCTTTCGACGTATTACCTTTATCCCGTTTTTGCCAAAACGACCGAAATTTCCTGTACCATTGGCCGGATTACTAGTGCCAGGCTTCATGTCGAGAAAGAGCGAAAAATTTACCGGCATTTTGTAAATGGTACAACTCAATCCTGTTCCCGTTTTGGGTGCCAAAATAAATACCAGTACCATTTGACGGAAATTTTTTCACCGAAATTTCCGTACAAATGATAAGCGCTCCAGTTCTACCTTGTGTAAATTTCATAAGGGGAGAAAGGGGCTACTCGTGATCCACCTTCCCCGCGTATGTCGTGGTAGGACCGCTGTGCGGGTTCCCAGCAAACAGCCTCCACATGTGTTGTGCGGAGCTGGCGCTTGATAGAACGTTTTGCACTCACCTCGGCAGTAACGGGTTCTTGAGACGCGGGTTATCCCCGTTCATTATCCCAACGGCTTTGCCACGCTAGTGGTCCCCAATAGGGGCGAAACAGCTGTCTGTGGCTGCCACTGCCCGCGTGATATGGCTTTGCGCATGCGTGAGGTACTAGCCCGGCCGTGGGTTGGTGTATGTGTGCCCCTTGCTTTAAGTTTGCACTATTTTCAATGAAATTGACTTAAGTTCAATCTATTATCCATCAATTACTATATTTCATGACATTACTAAACAAATTCAACCGGCGCGCGCGTACAGGTAAAATCTTTGCTCGTTGGCACTTAGCGATAGCTATAACTAGTTATTATATATAAGATATACTAGTGTAATTGCGTGTCATTTCTCTCGTAATGTCCGAGTCCAAACCATAGACTTAAGGAGGCAAAGAGAGTTTCTACTTGATGGAGAGACCTGCCTGGGAAGTTGGGCTGTAGAAAGAAGAGTTATTTTTTGGAGTTCATTTATAGTGATTTTGCCAGGGATTTTGTTGGTGTAGTTTTCATGTCCTTCTTTACGGTGCCAAGAGCTCCCACAACCACCGGAACTATTGTTGTTTTGAGTCCCCACATTCGCTCAACCTCGACTTCCAAGTCTTTGTATTTATTAAGCTTTTCCGTGGTTGTGACCGAGGTGTTGGTCTCGAGGGGTATAGTCATGTCAGTGAGAAGGCGACGTCCTTCTTGTTCTTTAACACAATGTTCGGCCTATTAGCTGCGATGGTCCTGTCAGTGTGGATGGGCATGTCTCTCAGAATAGTGACGCTATCCTTCTCGGTGACAGTTTTTGGTTCATGCTCACCTCAGTGCCAAACTCTTTGCAGATCTTCCAGTGCATGTGTGCAGCTGCGTTGTTGTGGTGGTGGATGTATTCAGTTTTAGCCAGTTCAGGGCGGCAGAGACCAGGGCCGGGTTGTTCAAAGCCGGGTTAAGATAACCCAGGGTTGGTACAAAATTTGAATTCAGATAGGAAAGATGAAAAAGAAAATTCACTTTAATTCTCTTTGTCTACAATTTGATGATTAGGTACTCTAAAAAGAGTAGGGAAAATTTTCCGAGAAAATGCTTTTGATGCAAAGAAAAATAGACCTGGTTTAGCTTTAACCTGCCTTCGAACAACTCGGCTTTGATCTTGGGCTGCGATAATAAAAATGAAGCCCTCGGTTTCTGCCTTGAGGCTAATTGCTTTTAGCCATATCCAGGTCTTTTCTTGTATTGGTCCACGTCAGCCTGTTTCACCCGCTGTAGGTATTTGCCGTGGAGCGATTTTGATTCCTACTTAGACCTGAGCTGTTGGCGACCCTGGTGTTTGGCCTTGGCCTTTGTTCTGCGGGTATGGGTGGTGTTCGCCACATCCTCTGCAGGTGGTATTACAGGCACTCCCAGTTTCCCGACTGAACTTCGTTGACTGTCTGCTGATGGAGTACAAGGATTTCCTGTAACCATTTTTTTTTTTGTAATTTATTAATTTCTATTTGAAGTTTTCATCTTACAGAGTACACTTAAAGTAAAAAGGAAAAAACAAACAAAAGAACAAAACAAAACAAAACAAAAAGACAAAAAAAAGAAAAAAAAACTATTTCAGCAGACAATATCTAAGTTGATAGAAAGTACTTATCTTTATATTTATGTACAGTATTTAATTGTTAATTAGATCACATTACATTGATTAACTTTTCCCACTTACTAAGATGTTTATTTAATGTGCCTCTTTTCCTGGCAGTGTAAAGTTCAATGTTGTAAACACGCCTAGTCCTAACAATGAACCCCTGAAGGGAGGGCATACCCTTTAGACATTTTTGTGAATAAATATAGTATTTCCCAAGCAATAAAATATGATTAACTAGAAGGAAATCATCTCCAACATCAAATTTACCGAAGATTATATCCTATTCTTTTAAATTCTCATCAATAATATTGTTGTCCCTTAGCCTGAACAAGACGTGTTTCCAAAAAACAGAGGATATTTTTTAGGAAAAAAAGTAAATGTTCGATGGATTCGACCTCAGTTTGGCAGAAAACACATTTATCTGATTCAGCCATACCAAAACGAAAAAGTTTCTCATTCGTAAAAACGATACGGTTTAGTATTTTGAACTGAAATTCCCTAAGTTTTGTTTCTAATGTTGTGCGGAGGAATAATAAGTAAACTCTTTTCCAGTCAATAGTTAAATGATGATACTTTGCAGATAGCTTCTCTTTAGCGGTAGGTGTGGTTTGTTTTTTGGCCAAAAAAGACCGTCTGAAGACACTCGAGTTCCTCCAGATTTTTTGTATTTGGATCGGAATCGCATTTTTCCGCACATTCCTTTAAATCTTTCTCTAGGTTTTGTAGTTTCGCTCTTCTTTCGTGGGCTTTAGTTTTGCTATATCTTATTGTTTGCTGTCTAATTTTGTATTTGATTAAATCCCATAAGACACGTTTATCCTGTACTTCTTTGAATTCTTCCAGCCAAATGGCATACTCAGTGGTTAGTAGTTCACAATAAGCCAAATCATTTACAAGGTTTGAATTAAATCTCCAACTAAAAACAGCTTTCCGCATTTCAAAAGTGCGAATCCCACGAACATTTAACGACAAAAGATTGAACTCGTTATTACGCGCCATATTACCAGAATAAGCAGGACCTGATTTGGTGGGAAAAATTTATCAACACATTTACAGCAATCTGACACTCAAAGAAATTCTTCATTGACATGCTGCGATAGCTTTGAATAACAGAAAATGAAAGGAAAATAACCACGAAAACGAAAACAAAAACAATAGAGTACAACCACTTAATACTGATACAAACAATTAAAAGAGCAGCAAGGTAACTATCTCGAATGCTGCGCCCTGGAATGGATCTAAGTAAAGTTGTTCGAGATTGCATGTTTGCGTACGACAGCAAAAAGCCTAGTTGGGCTTTAGAGACAATGATTCGGAAATAAAGTTTTAAAGTGAATGTACTTAACGCCTACAACAGATTACGAGGAAATTATATGCAAATACATGACTATTTGAGAGCAGAGTGAAAGAAAAGCTCCGATGAGAGTATTATATTTAAATGTACATTTTTATCTCTGGACATGTGTAGAAAGCGGTGCTCGGGCCTAAACAAAATCTGTCAATGGAGCATTTGCAGGGATAAATTTACCATTATATGGTTGCGCTTTGCTGAAATATACTGTACAGCCTTTGCCTCTGGCCTTCTTGAACTTTTTCATCTGACTTTTCCTTATTTCATAAAGTTCTTTTGGTATATCGTCAAACACCGAAAATTGTTTGTCCTCTTGACTCTTTAACTCCTTGCGGGCTTCATCCATCACCATTTCCTTGTCCGAATATGGTAAGAAACGTGCGATAATTGGGCGAGGTTTGTCACTGCTGTTGTTAGGCTTTCCCAATCGATGGACTCTTTGGAACTCGATTCTACCACGAGGGTTTTCAATACGAAGGTTGTTTTCCAGGAATTTAAACACTAAATCTCTTGTATCCTCGGGTGGGGAGTCAACTGCAGAAGCCGGCACTACTTCGTGAATCCCAAAGAATTTACCATTTTCTCTTCTTGAGAAGGTTTCTAAATACAATATCTGCTTGCGAAGATCATTTATTTCAAACTTTGACTCTTTCTTTAGGTCTGAAATGTCGTCTTTTGTTGAACTGGATACTTGCTTCCAATTCGGACGCTTTCTTTTCCACTCTGTTTGTTTTTTGCTTCAGGTCTTGTACATCTTCATTTAAACGAGATACTTTCTCCTCAATACTAGCAAGACTAGCAGAGACCTCGCTAAGATGCGCTTCTATCTTATCGAGTTTTTCTAATTTATTCAGCACACGCTGCAGTTTCAGACCGACGTCCTCCGCCATCTCCAGCGCTTCAAACACTTCGTCCGTGTCACTATTTTTGCTTCTTTTCTCTTCAGGTGACTGATTAGAAGATTGAGATGCTGCACTAGATCTACCTTTCCTTTTGGAAGACATTAGAGGCGTATAAAGATGAAAAATTGCAATCACTGCCTCCTGCTCAACATTAGGCGACCTATTCGTTCGCCATGCTAGCCCCAGTCCCTTCATTGACTGTCTGCTAATGGAGTACAAGGATTTCCTGTCGTCCGGGTCTTTGACAAAGTGGAGGAAGTATTTATCAATAGCGATAGTGGTCGTCTTGTAGGAAAGCTCCAGTTTTATGAGCCCTCTACCTCCTTCGGTTCTGGGCAGGTACAGCCTGTCCTCGTCAGATTTGGGGTGGTGCATCTTGTACATAGTCAGGAACCTCCTAGTCTGTGTATCAAGTTTGGTCAGCTCTTATCCGAGTCCAAACCATGGACTTTGGAAGGGTGAAGAGGGTTTGTAATAAATGGAGAGGATCCGCCTGAGAAGGTGGGCTATGATGATGATGATGATGATGATGATTATTGTTATTATTATTATTGTTATTCATATATGAGAACTGCGGAAATGAAATTAAATGAAGAATGATCCTCGCAGTTGTGAACGTAATTAGTGCAATTCAGGTATTCAACCGGATTTGAACCCGTGACCTCGCGATACCGGTGCGACGCTCTAACCAACTAAGCTATGAAGCCACTGATGTTGGGAGCTGGTCAATTATGTGTTCATATGTTCCCGTGAAAGAGGTGAATGTCACAAATGTATACGGAATAAATCATATGTTCATTTGATGATGATGATGATGATGATGATTATTTTTATTACAAGTAATACCGATAAAAGTAAACTATAATTATTTTACACTATATAAAGCTTCGAGTTTAAACCGTAAAATACTTTGATCAAAAAAGGTTAGCTTTTTCGTTTTTGTTCGGTGCCGCATATTTATACGACAAAGTCACGGTTCGAGGTTGTCCGCTATAGTGAAAAGTGTTTGCATTTTCTCTTATTGAAATAGATGGATGAAAGTTGGTCGCTCTTTTTGATATACAAATCATGTCCAGTGACATGCATATCATGTCAAAGAGAAAGTAAAATCAACCATTACAGCTGATTCGTAAGTCGCGGCACAAGCCGATTAAAAAAGTGGATTTACAAAGCAAGATACGAATTGCTCTTACTGGAAAGAAAACAACAACTTAATAACATCCTGCAAACCACTAAGCTGAAACTATGTCATGTTAGGCCCCTTTCAATCGTGGAATTTCTTATGAGTGCCGAACACCTATTTTAGTCGATGAAAGTAATTAAATACGGCAGTTGATCCAGACGTCGGATATGATGGTGCCGAATTCCGTTCACTGTCAATATAATCATTTATCAGCCGAAAACGTGATACGAAGAGGCACTTCTGTCCTTAAGGTAAATTTGTTTAATCTAACTCCGTAACCGTGTAGTTCACGGTTCGAGCATACGTTGCTTGGTTGAAGTTTGTTCCCGAAGTTCAAACTCTAGCGTCTATCCTTTGAGGGCATGCGCTATAAGATTCCATCTCTTTAAACTTGTTTACAGTCTCTTCCCATGAGCCTTCGTTAACCACGTCCAGCGGAACGGATCGTTAGTGCTGACCAAAAGGATCACAGGCTCTGGGAAAAGCATTGACGTGTTTTGTAATTCACATGACAGTGACACCACTCGACTAAACGTTTTGCTGATGTTGCCAATTAGTTGAATTTCAACGTAATTTCCAACCCACAGTAGTTTTAATTTCATCTTGTGAATTATGCCGTAAACAAATAAGAAACAGTCTACCAAGCTCAATTCAGCACTTTTCAGCTGGTATTTATGCATATTCAACTACCTCTGCAACAATACATCTTACGTGTTCTGCCTAATGAACACCTGACTCCGCCTGTTCTCTATTCCGTTCTCTATGACGCCTTGTCATATTTCTGTGCGCGATCCTTGCTGCCCGCTCATCGAAATTTAACTCTCAGTTAGTTCAAACCTCCGGTGTACTTCCTTCGGTGACATTCAAGGGTCCTTGAAAAGCTAAGTCGATCACCATGTTGATCATCTTTAATGATAATTTATTTATAAGCATATTAATTATCACAACAACGCACAACGCGGCCAAACGCAATTATTAAAACTCTTAATTTTGGTGGATCTTGGACATAGTTTCGTAAAAAGGAACACATTTTGATCATTTTCATAATCTGACAATAACTCATTTTTCTACGGGATACCAAACAAATGTCTGCAGATTGTTTCAGAAAAATACAACAACGTCACGGCAGTCATGGAAAGTTTTAAATGAGGAAGAGTTAACAAGACCTAGGGAGCAGAGGGTGGTCACGTTCGCAATTGTTCCTGCAAATATGAGAGAGTCGGTATTGGTTAGTCTGTCGATTATTATTTTGATAATACCTTAAGTTAAATAAAGGTATCTTGTTTCTAACCTGCTCTCGGCGATGACATATGTAAATTTCGTGGAGAGGACTAACTGACAGGGGAGCGGCGTTGTGTAATTGAAGCAGCTATTCGGCGCTTTTACGTTGTATAAGATTGTATAAAAAGAAGGTTTTCAGTAGCGGTCCTGAAAAAAAAAATGCCGCTCTCTTACCTTTAAGACAGACAACAAAAAATGCCCACGATGATGAAGCAGTAATTTCACACCCTCGAAATCGTGATCTGCGTATGTTTTGACTGACAGACATCAGGTATGCCATACCGGGAAGCATCGGGCTGGTTCACTAGACTTGATTTCCACCTTCTAGTGATCACTCAAGTTTAATCTTGAAACATTATTTTCAAAGTGTTATTTAAGGCAGAATCCTTTGCGAAGGATATTCACTGGAATTTAATTTTTGCTTTGCAAACACTGAACAATCTATTACTTAGCGTTTTTAAGGACAGTTGTGTCGTTTACATCTCTTTAAAATTCTTAGTTATTACTTCTTTTTTGTTTTGTTTTTTTAAACTGTCGGGCTTGTCCATTAAGTTCGGTTGTAGTCGTCGTTTGTTATCTTGTGTAATATGACTTTTCTTTCCAGCGGAAGGTGTATTATTTTCAAGGTCGGCCAGGGTTTTGGGGTATACGGTATACAGGGGCTTTTTAAATCGGGTATACGGTATATTGCAGCTTAAATACGGGTATTCGGTATATCACTTTCTTTGAATTTCAGGTATAAAGTATGCCTGGGTATAATTTTGGGTATATTTGGATGAATGTTGGGTATTTTAGGGTATTTTGGCGAATTTTTTTCCCCTGGCCGACCCTGTATTTTGATTTTTGTTCTCAGACTTGAATTGAACCTTGAATCATATTGTAGGTTAAGGTATGTCCAAAACTACTGCTTACGAACTCGAGAGGGACTTTGGTTACATAGACTTGGACTTCCTTCCTGTCTAAAATATTGGTCAAGAACAGAGTCACGTCACTTTACACCCTAACAGTCAAAGTTGAATTATGTAATGTAACTCGTATGCCAACATGAGACTATTCAGTTATTTAAGTTGTTATTTCTCCTGCTAGTAATTTCGCAGTGCAAAGTGTGCTTGCTTTGTAAATTGTGCGTTTGCTCAGAAAGGAAATCCCATTTTGGTGACCGAATGTATTCGTTTTCGGTGTAAATATCGCTTTGCGGTTTTTGTTCTCCTCTCCTATTTTCATTTGAATTTTGAAACGCAGGTGCAGATGTCGCTCACTGTCCGCTTTTCCTTTAACACGATCTCAAGGGTCAGGAAATTAGTATTTGCCTCTCTTTTGATGCCTCTACCACTCATTGGCTCTTTACGGGCTACTAACTAGAAACAGATTTCATGTACGATCAAGAAGCTCTTGGTATTGAAAACGCAAATCGAGTGCTTGGCATTTCTCTTTGTCTTTCCCGAATCAGGAATGTCTCTAGCAACGTCCACGCTCGCCAGTGGCAGCGAATTAACAATTTAACAGCTGTTAGTTACAGCAGAATCAATTTTAACATCTTTTTAGGATGAAACATCTAAGTTTGACTCGTTTTGTACAATCTGATTCTTAAGGGTTCGGTTTCTTAAAGGACAAGCACAGCCTCAGTGGAAAACTCAGTTGATTTTACAAATATCGACTAAACGTCAGCATTTGAATTTACGTCTTAATTTATTCCTACCAAGCATCAATTGGAAAAATTATGCAAAACGATTTCCAAGTAAAACCTTGAAATAAGACCCCTAAGCGGAGAGAGGAGGACTCATGATCCGATGGTTCCACTGTGTTAATCGATGACCATGGTTATCATAAAGGTAGTCAACGACACAATTAGTGATCATACTAAGTTCGGGAACGGGTCTACCGAATCTCGGTATGAGGTCACTGTAGCGACAAGGGTATGCTGTTCTCCCAAGTAGCATACAAAGGCTCTCCAGCTTGTTTGCCACGGTTCTTTGAGAACATCTGAATGTTTCGGGCAACCCAAGAACCTCCGCCAACACTGGGATATCGTTCTTGTTAAAACGAAATTGCGCCTTACATTCCGGCTCCTGAATTTCATCTAAGTTGAATCTCTGATAGTTTTCGTAGTTAAATTCGGAGTTTCTCGATGTGTTGTCGTCCAGCAACAAAAGCAACTCTTCGTCATTTATAACTTTCCTATCATGGTTTAACAAAAGCATTTCCCGAGCTTCTTTAAACGAAGACATTTCCAACAGCTTTTCCAGTTTTTCGTTTCAGTGCACTGAGCAATTCAACACTGTACGCGTCCGTCGTGAAAAAGGAACACACGCTTAAGTTAAAAATTTTCGCGCCACAAACGCCGTTCTCGATCCATTCCTCTCACGGAATGGAGACCTCCGTCGTGAAAAAATGTTCGTTGCTTAAGCTCTCTATTGATACATTGTAAGGCAGTAAAATATTGGCTACAACTCGTTACTTTTTTTATCGGAAGTTTCGTTATTACAAGTGAAAGCCTCTCATTATTCAAGGCATTGTCTCCAAGTTTCATTTTCACGTGAACAACAGTAACTAACAATGCATCTGACATATGCAAAAATGCTAGCTATTGTTATGCGCGAAAATATGAAACTTGGAGACAATACCCCGAATAATGAGAGGCTCACATTTGTAAACACAAAATTTCTGCCAAAATATTGGCGAATTGTAGCCCTTATTTTACTGCCTTACAATATATCAATAATCTTGAAACTAAAGGGTCATATAAAAGGAAGGTTAATCTCAAGAATCTTATTTTTTTTAAAAAAATCTATCGAGTGGTTTTAAAATTATTCGCTAATTTGTTAAAGTAGACCAAAATGTTCAAAAACCGCTAACAAAAGCGCCTCGATACATACTAATCAAATCCTTCTTTTAAGCAATCGGTGGAGCTATCTCCACGGTCTTTCACACACGTTTTTAAAAAGATTGAAACTACTATCAGGTAAAATTGCATGTCAAAAGCGCTTCATTTTCTACAGATAACAGCCGAAGATCAAGATTATTCATTTTTTACCGTATTTCTAACCACAAAATCTTGATCCCAAAATATCTCGATAACGCTCTTACAGATTTCGCTTAAACTTCACGAACATCGAGGCGGCTATTGGAGGAAAAAGCTCCCGTGAATAATTTTGGAAGAACAGTTCTCAGTGCCGAGAAAGTACTTCTGTAACTAAAATAGGTAATAGCGTCATTTCGTTGCTATGAGAACTCCGATGTCATTGCAACCCTGATCATAAAAGATTTTCATCTTTATCTAATACAACTGTGGGGGCAATTTTTCCAAAACTTTGTTTATGGAGACGTAGTTTATGCTCAACCTTGGCAGGTATTGGCCATGAAAAACTGTATCGAGCCACCTTAATCTAACTCCGTAACCGTGTAGTTCAGTTTGTTCGAGCATATGTTGTTTGGTTGAAGTTTGTCCCCGAAGTTCAAACTCTGGCGTCTATCCTTTGAAGGCGTGCGCTATAAGATTCCATCTCTTTAAACGTGTTTACAGTCTCTTCCCATGGGCCTTCGTTAACTACGTCCAGCGGAACGGATCCTTAGTGCTGACCGAAAGGATCACAGGCTCTGGGAAAAAGCATTGACGAGTTTTGTAATTAACATGACAGTGACACCACTCGACTAAACGTTTTTCTGATGTTGCCAATTAGTTGAATTTCAGCGAAATTTCCAACCGACAGTAGTTTTAATTTCATCCTTTGAATTTTGCCGTAAACAAATCAGAAACAGTCTACCAAGCTCAATTCAGCACTTTTCAGCTGGTATTTATGCATATTCAACTACCTCTGCAACAATACATCTTACGTGTTCCGCCTAATATGAACACCTGACTCCGCCTGTTCTCTATTCCGTTCTCTATGACGCCTTGTCATGTTTCTGTGCGCGATCCTTGCTGCCCACACATCGAAATTTAACTCTCAGTTAGTTCAAACCTCCGGTGTACTTCCTTCGGTGACATTCAAGGGTCCTTGAAAAGCTAAGTCGATCACCATGTTGATCATCTTTAATGATAATTTATTTATAAGCATATTAGTTATCACAACAACGCACAACGCGGCCAAACGCAATTATTAAAACTCTTAATTTTGGTGGATCTTGGACATAGTTTCGTAAAAAGGAACACATTTTGATCATTTTCATAATCTGACAATAACTCATTTTTCTACGGGATACCAAACAAATGTCTGCAGATTGTTTCAGAAAAATACAACAACGTCACGGCAGTCATGGAAAGTTTTAAATGAGGAAGAGTTAACAAGACCTAGGGAGCAGAGGGTGGTCACGTTCGCAGTTGTTCCTGCAAATATGAGAGAGTCGGTATTGGTTAGTCTGTCGATTATTATTTTAATAATACCTTAAGTTAAATAAAGGTATCTTGTTTCTACCCTGCTCTCGGCGATGACATATGTAAATTTCGTGGAGAGGACTAACTGACAGGGGAGCGGCGTTGTGTAATTGAAGCAGCTATTCGGCGCTTTTACGTTGTATAAGACTGTATAAAAAGGTTTTCAGTGGCGGTCCTGAAAAAAAAATGCCGCTCTCTTACCTTTACGACAGACAACAAAAAATGCCCACGATGATAAAGCAGTAATTTCACACCCTCGAAATCGTGAGCTGCGTATGTTTTGACTGACAGACATCAGGTAAGCCATACCGGGAAGCATCGGGCTGGTTCACTAGACTTGATTTCCACCTTCTAGTGATCACTCAAGTTTAATCTTGAAACATTATTTTCAAAGTGTTATTTAAGGCAGAATCCTTTGCGAAGGATATTCACTGGAATTTAATTTTTGCTTTGCAAACACTGAACAATCTATTACTTAGCGTTTTTAAGGACAGTTGTGTCGTTTACATCTCTTTAAAATTCTTAGTTATTACTTCTTTTTTGTTTTGTTTTTTTTTAAACTGTCGGACTTGTCCATGAAGTTCGGTTGTAGTCGTCGTTTGTTATCTTGTGTAATATGACTTTTCTTTCCAGCGGAAGGTGTATTATTTTCAAGGTCGGCCAGGGTTTTGGGGTATACGGTATACAGGGGCTTTTTAAATCGGGTATACGGTATATTGCAGCTTAAATACGGGTATTCGGTATATCACTTTCTTTGAATTTCAGGTATAAAGTATGCCTGGGTATAATTTTGGGTATATTTGGATGAATGTTGGGTATTTTAGGGTATTTTGGCGAATTTTTTTCGGGTATACTGGTCTACCACTACCCTCCCTGGCCGACCCTGTATTTTGATTTTTGTTCTCAGACTTGAATTGAACCTTGAATCATATTGTAGGTTAAGGTATGTCCAAAACTACTGCTTACGAACTCGAGAGGGACTTTGGTTACATAGACTTGGACTTCCTTCCTGTCTAAAATATTGGTCAAGAACAGAGTCACGTCACTTTACACCCTAACAGTCAAAGTTGAATTATGTAATGTAACTCGTATGCCAACATGAGACTATTCAGTTGAAAGTCATTACGCAAGTCCGTTGTTTGATTCTCTACTTCTTAGCCGTGCTGTACAAAGCAATCCTGAATTTTTCTCGCTGCAAAACTAATAAATAATGTTGTGAAAAGAATAGGGCTTACTTTTTCGTTTGCTCATGAAATTGCCTACCATTCTAGTGAGAGGTTCGTCGAGTAACACTCTTTCTTTAAGTTGTTATTTCCACTGCTAGTAATTTTGCAGTGCAAAGTGTGCTTGCTTTGTAAATTGTGCGTTTGCTCAGAAAGGAAATCCTATTTTGGTGACCGAATGTATTCTTTTTCGGTGTAAATATCGCTTTGTGGTTTTTGTTCTCTTCTCCTATTTTCATTTGAATTTTGAAACGCAGGTGCAGATGTCGCTCACTGTCAGCTTTTCCTGTAACACGATCTCAAGGGTCAGGAAATTAGTATTTGCCTCTCTTTTGATGCCTCAACCACTTATTGGCTCTTTACGGGCTATTAACTAGAAACAGATTTCATGTACGATCAAGAAGCTTTTGGTATTGAAAACGCAAATCGAGTGCATGGCATTTCTCTTTGTCTTTCGCGAATCAGGAATGTCTCTAGTAACGTCCACGCTGGCCAGTGGCAGCGAATGAACAATTTAACAGCTGTTAGTTACAGCAGAATCAATTTTAACATCATTTTAGGATGAAACATCTAAGTTTGACTCGTTTTGTACAATCTGATTCTTAAGGGTTCGGTTTCTTAAAGGACAAGCACAGCCTCAGTGGAAAACTCAGTTAATTTTACAAATATCGACTAAACGTCAGCATTTGAATTTACGTCTTAATTTATTCCTACCAAGCTTGCATCAATTGGAAAAATTATGCAAAACGATTTCCAAGTAAAACCTTGAAAAAAGACCCCTAAGCGGACTGATTTCCCATTGATGAAAAGAGAGTGGATTATAATTTTTTTTTTTTACTTTTGTTATTTTTCTGTTTCTTTCGTTCTTTCTGTTGGAGACAAATTTTCAATAATGTTCGGTGTTCTTTTCATTTACTTGTTACACCAAAGACCCACCTGCGCTTCGCTATTTGTTGAAATGAAATTGGTTTAGGACGTTTGCCACTCCGTGTGTTTACTTAAGAACGTGAGACAGCACTGGTGCAAAGCCTCAGCTTTTTGGGTTAATTATGAAAATGCCTTGTTACCGCCGGTTTCTTGCGAAATATTAGGAAAAGCTACTCTGCTTAATCGATAATCTGCCAATGTTGCTAGATACCTAGCAACACCAGACTGAGAAACACTAATCACTCATGAATTGCTGTTAAGTCGGGGGCTACTTTTAATATTGTAATGAGCATAGCGACGACATCAACGATTCACAGTTTTCGACGTCTTTTTGACTATTTCTTTCAGGGAGCGAAGCAGCCACTGACATAGCTTCCTTCTGTTTCTGCCAGAAGAAAAGGAATATCTCACTACTAACTAAACATAAAATCCTCGACATGACTGAAAGCAACAGAAGTACTTACTGCGCATTTATGTTCGACGACGATGAAAGACGTAAGTCGATGTTTGCTACAAATGTTGCCCTACTTGTGTTGAATTGTGTCTTTTCATTGACAGCAACATTTCAAAACGTGCCAGTGGTTTACGCGATTCTCCGAACGCCGACTCTGCACAATCCTCCGAACATCCTTCTGTGCTCGCTTGCCTTTACGGATCTTTTCGTTGGCTGCATTGTGCAACCGCTCTCTATCGCCCACACTGCTGTGCTTATTAGTGGAAAACCCTTTTCGTGCACGTTGTGGCACGCTAAAGAAACCCTTCTGTTGCTGTTCATGTACGTCTCGATGGTGACATTGGTCACGATAAGCACAGAGCGCTGGCTGGCTCTCCATTATCACCTCAGATATCATCAAATTGTAACTGTGCGCCGAACGCTTTTGGTAATCGCAATTACATGGTTTTGCTCCACGACGAGTGTAATCTCCTGGCCCTCAGGTTTGGATTTTCCAGCGTTCACAGCATTGGGTCTAGCTGTTATCACTATAGCTGCAATTGTGCTAGTTTTCATGTACGTTAGAATATTGCTAATACTGCGTCGCCACAGAAGTCTCATCAAAAACCAGGCAAAGTTGCATCCTCCGTCAGTGAACATCAGAAAACACAGAAAATCATCTGCTACTATGCTCTACGTTGTGGTTTTGTTCTTCATTTTTTACTCGCCGACGTTTTACGTTATGATTAAGTTCTTAGACTCGACACCAAAGTTCTTCAGCGAAGAGCAAACAGTTTTATGGGAAGTTGCAAAGACCGCAGCGCTCATAAACTCGTCGGCTAACCCGCTAATGTACTACTGGAGAATGAGGGAAATTCGACGCGCTGTAAGGAGTGTGTTTAGCCATTCATCAGTGTTAAGAATTCATGTCGGAGATGGAACTACCCATGCCTCGGGAAGCCGAGAGAATGAGTGGAAAGGTCGGGCTGACCAGAGACAAAGTTCTTTTTCTGTAAAACGCAACTCGCAAGGGAACGTGTCTCGGTCCAACGTGGTTATTTCTAGAGCAAGATCCGATATGCATCAAGATCATAGAACAGAGTCAACGAAAGTTGAAGTAGGAGAGAAAAAGTTGTTTCTTATGCCACGATTTCTAGAGCCTGGCCCCAGTTTTCAAACTGAGTAAGCTAACTTTGTGAGAGAAACGCTGGGCCACGCAGCAGAAATTTTTGAGCGAAGTTGACTGAAACAGAATGTGTTCCTCTTGCCTTAAGTTAGCAAACTGAGGACAACATACTTATTTTGGTGAGGGATAATCAGTGTAATTAGGAAGGTCAAGGGAAATTGCGGTCCACTTAGCGTAACTGGGGAACTGAAATATTGCAGTGCGTTTCGATGTTTCTGCCTTTTTCTGGATAAGATTACAAGCCTGTTACACCCGCTACTAAGATACCCATTTTAAACGATTTGTATGAGAAATTTCCGAATTTGATTGGCTCAGAGCAGTGGTATTTCAGCTTAATTTGAAATACCTACATGTGAAAATTTCAAACCTTTTGCGGTTAGTAGTATAAACAAATAAAAGCATGATTTGTACTTGATATTTGGCTTAAATACAAGTCGTGATATTTCAAAATTGTCTCTAATTTCACTCGCCTAACGGCTCCTGAAATTACATATAACAATTTCGAAATATCACTATAAACCATGCTATCACCTATACTTTGTGTGAAATTCCGCTTTGCAACAGGCAGAACGCTATTGGCATCAAAAATCCCCATTTTCAAAAAAACATCAATGGCCTTCAAATTCAAACTGACAACCTTTGCGCAGATATTAACGAATTTTAATTCCAGTAATTGTAAAAGCGAGCTTGACACCACCTAGATTTATAGTTTTCTGTTCATTCTTGAAAAGGTGATCGTATAATCGCATATTTAGGGATTAATTAAACGCTGGGCTTGAAATTGTCAACTTTACGACAAGAGGACAATAAATGGAAATTGTAATTTCCCTTTAGTCATAAATTAAATCTGTGGATAAGAGATTCAAGTCGTTGAAGGCTGAAATCATTGTGCAGCTAATTTTATTGGTAGGCGCCCATAGCGTTAGGATAAAATAACTAGTACATGATTCGGAAAAATATCCATGTTTTGACATGTTACTTGGAAATGCGACTTTTGACTGTCATTTTGTGTATTTAGTTCGGCTGTTTAATAGAAAGTATTCGGGACGAAACGTTTACAAGTAAATATTGCGCTTTGTTTCTCTCCAAAGAGTCGTATTCAAACATAAACTTGGACGTTTTTTTCAAGTGTCTCTCGCTTGGTTTTTATGTTTTTGTGTTTTCTTTTTGTGGTCATTCCAGTTTCATCACAGATGCCGGAAAGTTAAACATCCTTTGACAGAAGCACACTGTTAATTTTTCCTATACATTCGAAGTTAATCGAAATACACTGTATATCTATTCTAAATGCGAAACAGATCTTGTTGGCTGGACGAAGCAATTCATTAGAATGAGACGAGAACAGTCTTTGTTTTTGATAATTTTGTCTTCAGCTAATTTAAATAGCTTGCCACGCAATAATAACAGGAATTGGAAATTTTTCGTCAACGTTTTATCGAACGCTTATGTGTCGAGGAAGACATTTTGAAGTAAATTAATAAGAATTTTTATTTTTTATTTATTTATGATTATTGCCTTTATTTTATTTTATTATTTTTATTTTTATTCTGGAATATCGGCTGTAAGCAATTTATTGGTAGGACCAAACCCAACGATCTAGCAAAACTGGCTCATAAATTTTTCCAATAACATTTATTTATATACTTTGTGTAATCATTCAATTTAGATAATCAAAACATTTCTACTTTTTACTCGGATCTCAGAAATTTTATTTCTTATCGCCTTGATATGTTTATTGCTATTGTGGCTTTCTTGTCTTGTTATTAAGGACATAAATCTCTGTTGCTATCGGGTTATTGGCAATTATCACGGCTATACTTTTATCATTTATCTGTGAGTCAGCCGCCGTTTTTAATTTCATTTCATTTTAACCCTTGTTTTAAAAAAACGTTCTTTTCAGAATTAACTCTAAGTTAACATTATTTAATTTTTGTAGGTTACCTCATGATAACCGTATTGCATGAAATTTGCGAATGATCCAATTTTGGCACTGTCTTTCACGGATCATCCAACGACTAGCTAAAAAATGAAGCGATCTATTCAAAATACACCTCCGCATAAGAAAGCAGCCTCAAAAACGTGCTTTCTTTTTTCGGTTATGACCACACCATTTCTTTTACGATTGTAAAATTGGAGGCTGCTAACAGTATTTTTTGCCGTGACAGACGACTATATTCGCGAAATTGTGTTCCCATTACTAAAGACTGAGATCGTATCTCACAAAATTGTTTAAAAGTCTTAAAAGTCGGTAATCCGCCTAATTTATCCTTCACAATTCAAATCTTTTTGCCACACTGTAATTTGATTTGTGAAGCAGTGCAAGTGTGCCATGATAACGAAGGACGTTTTTCGTTGAAGAATACGCCGATGAACCTGACTGGTTGTTAGTTGTCTTTTAGTCTTCTATTAATAGTGACGTTACGCAACAGGACGGCAGAAGGAAGAGGACGGCAAAAAGTTTGTGGATGACCATTGTGACAGGGCTATTACTTGGTGCGTGTTCTGCCGTGATCTTCACTTAACATTAATGCTTTCTGGTGAATGGTGAATGTGTGTAGTTTTATGAAATTTCACAAAATTACGTTTTGTTAAAAGATAAGAATTTCGCCCAATTTGATTGTAATCGGGATTCCGGAATCCGAGAAAATTTTGCTTGTGAAATCCAGGAGCCTCGGCTCTGGAATACAGAATGCAGCTATAGGCAATCCGGAATCCCGTTAAAGATTGGAATCTGGAATCCACGTTCAAGTGACATGGAACACAGAATCCAGTACTTGGAATCCGAAATACACAGCGTGGAATCCAGAATCCAATACTGTCTTGGATTTACCTTATAAAGCAATGACATATGTTCACAATTATTAACTGTTGAGCCGTTGTTTTATTAATTCCCTCTCCATGTTACAGCCATTTTAGCAGAGCGTCGTTCACTTTTCATACGTGGCGAGAATTTACTTCTTTAAAAAATGCACTTGAGCTCAATCCAATTGCCTACCAGCCATACTCGAAAACGAAACGTGTGCTTAAAATAAATGAATCTCGTGTTCATTAGCTTTCAAAATGTGTTCAATAAGCTATGAAACGTATATCAACTAATCTGCCTTGATGCAGCTATAATATTATCTTGAAAGTGCAGTCAAACTAAATCTTGTTTTTCATCTCTGTGAAATCCAACGAAGTTGATTTTGACAATTAAAAGGGGAGTTTTATGCCAGAAATTGATGCGGCTACATCATTCACCGCATCCGTAGCCTTGTCTTTTGCTTCATCCGCCTGTTCGGCGACTTTTTCCTTTGCCGCGTCCTCTGCAGCCTCGGTGCCAGACGCTGCTTTCCCCGCTAATCCCTCCGCCATTTCCTTGTACTTTAAAAGCTCCTGCACTTTGGCCATTAATTCCGCTACCTTTGCTTTCAGAGATTCGTTATCTTTGGTTAAATCAGAACATTTCTTTTGCAATTCCTCCATTTTGTTCTAACGTTTAACAAAAAAAACAATGTAAGTACACTTAACTTACTTGAAGAACAGGCTCCAGATTTTCTAACTATGTAGATGAACATTCTTAGTATCTCGTGATTTACCAATAAATCAGTGGATAGAATTTTGCGCAAACCGTGATGGGTTCTCCTCTTCCTAGATATAAGAGACGCTGGGAGCAAGCTCTCAGCCCCGCACAAACTAATTAAAAAATTGCTTTTATTTTTTAGCTATAGGGGTGCGGTGCTGTGTAATAGCCTCCCAATCGATCGAGTTTTGGCAAGCAGATACACTACACTGTAAAACGGGTTGAATCGGCTATTTTCATCTTATAGTTAACTTTTAGAATGGTATTAGACATTATTGGCTCTAATGGAAAGTAGCTACATAAAACTATGGCATTATTATAATATTTAAATATATTTATCTTATTTTTTTAAGTATATTATCAAACGTTTTAAGTCCTGATGAAGTACCGTGCGTTAATAAAGTTATTGTATTTATTACAGAAGCATATAGAGTGGTTTTCGTTTGAGTGTCGTAAAACCAAAACCAAAGTAATTACTCTGGCCAATCACATAGGACACAGACAATACATTGAACCAATCAAAACTCGAAGTAATTACATGTGGCTGACGCAAATGCTGACGCAAAGCGCGGGAAAATGCATGCGAGCGCGTCACAATTGGCTTTGGTTTTACTTCTGATTGGATGAAAAGGTGGCGCGAATCTTTTAAGCCAATCGCATCGTGTAGAAAGTGCAAAACCAATTATTTTTCGACACTCAAATGAAAACCGCTCTAACCCAGTGCTTCTGATTTATTATCATGATTTGTTTTGACTGGATCCCGTAACTCCGAATGCCATAGGCTATAGAACGTTTTCACGTAACGCAACAGCGGTCATATTGGTGTTCCAAAAGAATGAAACGGCGGCCACGTTGGTGTACCAAGCCAATCCTGTGAGAGTGAAGTCTTTTCTGATGTAAATGCTTTCATTTGTTGCAGTAAATTTGTGTAAATGCCAATCACGTGAGGGAAAATGCTGGATTTACTGTTTTGGGATCGGATTCACAATGGCGTCTCAAGCTCGTTCCGCTTCAGTTTCAGAAGACGAAATATTTGCGATAAATGGAGCAGACTTACCAACAAATAACAAGAAAGCGGCCAAATTTGACTTTTCGGTGTTTACTGGTAGTTAGAACTTTTTCGTCCTTAATTTGGACACTGCAACAAAATCGTGAATCAAAATGCATTTGACGAAATTAAACGTAATCAAAGCTCTTACTATGAGACGTTTTTGTTATTTATAAGAGCTTAAACTGAAATTTTAATGAAAGACATTCCTGGTTTCCTCGTATGAACGTCATCGCCAGTCACAAGAAATTTAGAAATATAGCGCTCAACTTTTCTTTTAGAACCGCCCAAGAATAATGAAGCCTCTACAACTGAATGCAGATGAACATGGACAAACCAGATAACCCGCAATCGAAGGTCCCCACTAAATGGAGCGGTCATCGTTGACTA